TTATTATTATTATTATTATGTTGTATGTGGGAAATCATCTCGTCCCATTGAATATTGTATTTCTGTCAAAGTATAATATTAAAGATAAGTAAAAATATGATATTCTAGTCATTGTATTCATTAATTAATTACCAGTTATTTCATCGCTGAGATATTATTGTCGTTTTTTTTATATTTTGACTTATTGTTTTTGTATTTTTTTGTTTTCATTTTAATGTTATCTAATGTTTTCATTTCATTTGAATGTATTTTATTGTTATATAATGTTTTTATATTTATTATATTTGTTTTCATTTTATTGTTACGTTTTAGTAATTTTGTTGTGAGTTTTTTTTTTTTTTCATTTTTATTAGTTTTATTTAAATATGTCTAGAAAGTTTTTTTTCTTTTTTTTTTTTTATTCCAGTTTAAGTATTATTTAAGTTAATTAAGAAAATACGATATTTTGCCTTGGCATCTAGCTAAAATATATTTTATAAACATTATATTTTATTTAAGTTATATTAAGTTTAGATTATTTATTATATTAAGTTTATATTATTTCAAGTAACAAAAATGTTTTATGGTTTTAGTTTTAGTTAACTATAATAACCCTGTTTATTAGTTTTTGTTAGTTTTTCATTCATTGTTCTCAAAACATCATATCAAAATTCTGTGTACAGATAAACTGATAATTATTTCATGTTATGGCTGATATTAAAATTCACTACTATTTGGTCTAAATAAATATAAAAAATAAAACCAAAGGCAGTTGTTTAAATGCTACAAATGAATCTAGGTCTCACAACATTATAATCTACAGCATGAAAAGTGGACATTATTCGAAGTATATTCAAAGTTTACTAACATTATTATTACGTTATTAGTGTTATTAAAGATCAACCTTGAGTGAGTATAAATGGCGAGACTGTCCTAAATGTAAAAATCAGGGAATGAGCAGCAAGATTAAATATTTAGTATCAACCAAAACCAATTATATGAATAAAATTAATTTAAAAAAGAGATCGCTAATATCAGCTAATAACCAATATTTGTCACATGTCTGTTGTTTTCAGTTAGCCTGTTCCCCTGTGACCTAGTTTCTGTCTCTTGTTGATTGTTTCATTTGGTTCAGGTGTGTGTCATCATTATCGTCATTAGCTTCCCTTTATTAGTTGTGTTCTGTTCTCAGTTTAGTGTCTGTTCTCGTCTAGGTTTACTTGCCTGTCTCCTGGATTTTCTAATTAAAATACCTTTTTGTTGATCTCCTTCGTCCTCGTGCGTTTGTACCTCACCAACGCACAACAGAAGAACAAATAAATTTTTTTGTGATGTTTTTGTTTCCTTTTTTCCTTATTCCTCTGTCACCGTGGACAATCCTAATGTTGCCCTGCTATGCCTGGAGCAGAGGGACCGCTCCCTAGAGACTCACACCAGGAATTTTTTGGAGTTGGCGTGCCTAACGCACTATCCAGACTGCTCGCTTTGTGTGTTTTACATCTCAAGCCTCAGCGAGCGGTCTAAGGCACGCCTCTCCGGGAGCGGTCCTCGGGACAACTTCGCCGCATGTGTGGAGTGGGTGCTGGAGAATAATAGACTATACTTCTCCATCGGCCCCACTGGTGAGGACATCTCCAGCCCCACTCCCAAACCAGAGACCAGCCAGTCGTCATCCTGCTGCACGGAGTTATTGCCAGAGCCCACCGCAGATGGAGAGCTCGAGCCTGCCGTGACACGGGAGCCAGTGCATAAAACCGCAACTGAGCCTATCGTTGCCCCGGAGCCTGAGCCTCTCAAGTTGTCTGACCAGGTGCGTGAGCTGGCTACATCGCCAGTTCCCGAGGGCATTTTGGTGGAGTTCGAGGGCTTGGAGGGAAGCCCCACCCACTCTCCTGCCGCTTAGCTGAAACTGGCCTTTAGGAATTATTATGAGGGATTAATGGACCTCTTTGATAAGGACCTAATTAGACTGTTTTGGGGAGGGATTACCCAATGCTCCGGAGTCTCCCATGTCTCCGCTGGTTCCGTCCAGCCCTGAATCTCCTTGGTCTCCACTGGTTCTGCCCAGCTCCTGTCCTCCTGTGTTCCTTCGCAGCCTCCCTCTCCCGCCTCCTCTTAAACCAGCCAGTTCCTCAGCCCAATCTCCGCTGGTGCCTGTCAGTCCCTCAGCTCACCCTCAGTCAGCACCATCTGAGCGCTCCGATCCGCCGCCTCGGGACTTCCAGTCTCCAGCTCCACCTAGGCGTGAGGATCCCCTGTCTCCGCCTCCAGCCGCCGAGCCTTGGACTCCACCCATCGGCTCCACCTTGGCTCCTAGCTTCCTTGTCTCCACCGTGGCCCGTCATCCCACTGGCTCCACCGGGCTCCTTCGTCCCTCCGGCTCCACCATGGTCAGTTGTCGACCATCGTCGCCTTGTCACTCCATCCCTCTGGCTCTGTCAGGCTCCTCCGTCCCTCCGGCTCCACCTCCATCCTCAGTCGCTCCGCCACAGTCTTCTGGAGCCCCGCCCCCGCCTCCGCCTCAGTCACCTGAGCCTTCAGCTCCGCCTTGGCCCTCCGGATCCTCTGTGTTGCCCTGGCTCTTCGTTTGCTCGGCTCCATCCTGGGCTCCTCTTCCATCGGCGACGTCTCCGTCAGTTGTCCCCAGGGTGTCGTTAAGGCCTTCTCCACCATGGCTCCTCCATCCCTCGACTCCGCCCTGGGGCTTCGTCTTGGCTGATCTTTTGAAAAACATCTGGCTTCTCCTGCTCCTGTCTTTCCCTTGGCTCCTCCCACCCTCCACTCCCCCATGGACTTATTTTTTTGGACTCTTTTTATTTCTGCCCCTCTCCTGCTCCACGCCCTCCTCCTGAGCCCCCACCCTCCCTCCTCAGTTGGAATATGTTACGGTGCAGGGACGTGCCATTTCCGGGAGGGGGCGAACTGTCACATGTCTGTTGTTTTCAGTTCCGTTCCCCTGTGACCTAGTTTCTGTCTCTTGTTGATTGTTTCATTTGGTTCAGGTGTGTGTCATTATTATCGTCATTAGCTTCCCTTTATTAGTAATAAAAAATGGAAATGGAATCAGTGGTGTTGTCTTGCTTCATTTATTAATAAGTGGCATGTTATTCAAGTACCTTTTATGTTTAATAATACACACAGTCTCTCTCTCTCTCTCTCTCTCTCTGGCTGGGTGGCATTTTTGTAATGTACTGCGATAAGAGCAAATGGACAAAGTTAATTAAAAAGAAAGGCCAGACAATTTGACAGTTCTTTTCTCTCTCTCTCACTCTCTCTCTCGCTCTCTCTCGCTCTCTCTCTCTCTCTCTCTGTCTCTCTCTGTGTCTCTCTGACAATAACAAAGACACGGTCTGTTGAGCTGCTCACAGTGGGAACTGTAGCATTTTTCTGGAAATTCATAGCAGAATAGTTGTGGGATTAGTTGTGAATAGCGAAGGGTTAAGTTGAAAATTCCAGCTGGCTTCACAGTCATAGATGTCTGAAGTGCGTCTGGCCTGTCGTCATTTCTCTGTGTGTGTGTGTGTGTGTGTGTGTGTGTGTGTGTTCGTGTGTTGAATCAATACTTCTGTGCCCCAGACGGCCATAGTCCATCAGGGTCTTTACAAACAAAACCTCTTCAGTTATCTGGGTTTTATCTTGTGTGGGTGTTTTTACTCAAACCACCTTTCAACATACATTTATCTCCTGTTTAAGAAAGACAGCATTTAGCTAGTAGTCAATGGGTAGTGAAAGACATGAAGTGCTTTTGGGATTTTAACATGCCCTGCAGTGTGACGAGGTACTATATCTCATCTAAAACTATTTTAAGCTACATTTTGATAATTCTTTTATGAGCTCATATTAATTTAGAGACGACATGGAATATTTGTACTTTTAAAAATTAATTTTTTAAACCCCAAATCCATTTAAAATGAACTATTGAAGAGAAAAATCCCTAATATTTATATATGTACCTCTATTAAAAAAATACAAATAAATAAAAACCTATAAATGTACGCTAAATGATGAATACACAAATACAAACAATACAAATCATTTCCTAAATTAATGTTTTTTTTAAAGTTTATATAACTGAGTGTATTTTATATACTTATTATATATATATATATATATATATATATATTTTTTTTTTTTTTTTTTTTTTAAAACATTTTTTATATATAAACTAGAGAAGGGAAAAAATGTGTTAGAAATGTAACCATTTACCGTATAATAAGCCCCTTACCTATTTTAGCCTTATTTTTATTTAAAAAAGGCCCATGAGAATATTATTGCTTAAATTAATGTTATTTTAAGTTTAGTCAAACAAATTTAAATATTTTTATTTGTTATAAATATGTTATAAATTTGTTATAAATATAAGTGTGTTATAAATATATTTGTTTATTTTTATTTCTAAATATACATTTTTATGTTTAGAATTTTATGTTTTTATTGTTAAATTTAGAATGTTAATATCAACAAATCTGTGCTTCGAATGCATCTTCAGCACATCTGGTACAGTGAGTTTAAGCAAACACCAATTGCATCCATTTGCATGCAGTTTGCACGCACAAATCATTGGTATGTAAATACAAGAACCGTTTTGCCTCAAATAAAACGGTGGCTATTGCAGTAATTCATCTAAATTTAAATGTGGTGGGCTTTCATTTAGAATTCATGTAAATATAAACAGCGAGAGCTTTCGTTTGAGGTGCTTGTTAATCAAATGTAATGTAAATGAATGTGCTCGTATGCAGAGCAGCGTGGTTGGCCGAGCATAAACAGGATGCAGATGGGACCCTCGTCCTAGGTTTTGTTACGGCACGATGCTCCGTTAACCCTTACTGAAGATGGGAGACGGGACAGGGGTGAGAGGGATAATAAATTGAAAGCAGCAGAGCTCAAGGTTGCAACACAATAATCCTGAGAGAGTGAAGAAAAGCCGAGTGGGAATGGAATTATAGCAAGGGGGAGAGAGAGAAAGAGAGTGAGAGGGTGCGATAAAGCTAGAATAAGAGAGCCTGGATGGGGGGAGAAGGGAAGTGAAGAGAGCGACTCCAACCGTGAGAGAGCGAGAGAGACAGAAAGGGATATAGCTACAGCGCAGTGACCTACAGAGACAGATGAGTAAGTGCTGTGTGTGGAGTGTTACCACCGTATCTTGTTATCAAGGATCCCATTAAGATGGTCCCATAGCCCTCGTGCTCCATATCTGGATATTTCTACTTCCATGTGGGATGAGCAGCTGCGCTCAGCGAGAGAGACCGAGGCATCTGACATCAACACCATGAGGTACTCACGGAACAGAGGGAACGAGACGTGAGAGAGAGGTGTTTGAGAGCAGAAAGAGAGAGGGATGACAATGATAACAAGCGGGAGATGCTGTGCGAGGAGGTGAGAGAAGGGTGAGAGAAAGGAGGTTTAGAATGAGGAAAGCAGTGGGAGACGAGTGGAGGAGAGGTGTTTTCCTGAAAAGTGAAGTTGGGGGTTTGTGCCTCTGTTGAGGGATTCTTTATTAATCCAGATTCTGCTCACTTCCGGCTAGTACATTGTTTAAATGATGTTGAGTTTTCCATATGTTGTCATATTTTAGCTGCTTAAAGCTTCAAACTTAAATTTATTTAATTCTAAAACTACTTCAAATCTAAATTTAAATGTGAATCCTGATACAATTCAGATTTATATTTGAATCAAAATCCGAATGCAATTCTCATTTGTATTTCAGTTCAAATCTGGATGCAATTGAAATGCATATTTAAAGCAAATACAATACAATTTGAGTTGACATTTAAATCAAATGTAAATGCAAATACAGATACAATTCAGATTTATATTTAAATCCCAATCAGAATACAGTTATCATGCTCTGTATATGTTTAAATCCAAATTCAGATACAATTTAAGTTCACAGTTGGCATTTAAATCCGTATTTCAAATGTAAATGCAAATACAGATACAATTCAGATTTATATTTAAATCCAAATCAGAATACAGTTCAAATGTACTGTATGATTATATACAAAATCAGATACAATTTGAGTTCACAGTTCACATGTAAATACAGATAGAATTCAAATCCACATTTAAATCCAAATTCCTAATAAAATTCAAATTCACATTTAAATGTAAATCCAACTCAAGTCTGAAATTAGATGAAGTAGATACTTTTTTTTGTTCATTCTTTGAAACATATCTGTCAATACTACATAAATTTTGAATCTGAATTTGATGTGTATTGTGATATAAAATCATATATTTTAAAATTCAGAGCAGGTTATAAACTGGATGATAGAGTAAGTCTCTGTTCAAGCAGTAATAGCCGTGTTTGGTATATCCTGTCCTTTTGTATTTAATCTTTGAGTGAAGCCCCTATCTTTACAGTTCCTGTGAGGACTGGCAGTAAAAGAGCCTGTCTTTCTCTCTCTAGTGGCTATGAACTGGGTAACCGTATATTGTGTTTTAGGCAAAAGCAGCCATAAGTGTGAAATCTCTAGGAACGCAGATAAAGTGTACAGTGTAGTGTACGAAAGCCAAAGGAAGAGAGAGAAATATCCAAGGGAATGAGAGTGTTTGAACGTGAAATGATTTGCAATAATATCAGTCTTTACTTCACTACAGGAAAAGAAATAATTGTAAAGTCATTTTGTGATTCAAGTGTCCTGCGGACATTCTTTAATTCATTTTATGAATCTTACTCTGAATACATATGTAAGGGTCAGTCATGTCAGCTGCACGTTCCTTGCGCTAATTTTATCTGTGTTGTAAAATAAGAGAGAGACAGACCCCGTAGAGCGAAAATAGAAAATCCGTAATGACCGAACGCAAGCTACCTATTAAACTCTATCATGTGCTTTATAATTTCCCAGAATCCATTAAAAATCATGCTATGCTCTCATTCTGAGTGTAATTATATTCTGTGGACCTTGACCACCCTGGTCCAACCTGACAAATGTCAGTGTGACTTTCCATAATTATAACAGTAATGTAACAGAAATCAATTCTGTCTTCCTCTGCTGGCCGTTCGCACGGTGCTAAAGGCTCTCTCCTCAGAGCAGAGCAACAAAGAGTCATGTCTTATGTCAATACACTATTGGTTATGTGAGGAATGACATTATTTGACAAGTTCTGCATGATTGTCTTTGACAGGAAATGCGTTTCGTGTGCAGTTTTGGTGTGAATGCTGATTCACATGAATCGGGTTGTGTTGGATTCGAAGTGTTTTGAACAAAGATGGAGGAGGTGTTTGTCTGGCTGGGTTAAAGGGGTTTGTAATTTGTCTCCTCAGAGACTGGTGTCTGTTTTCTTCTCTCTTTCATTCCTTTCCTTCTTTTTAAATGCTTTCCTTGAGGCACACAGCTGGCTTGGCATGAAAATGCTCCTGGTATCCTCAAAACTAAGTCAACTGACATTACAAACCCGGATATTACACGTGTGATTTGTACAGATTGATATGCAGTGATCTGAGACCACTTGTGGAAACGGTTTGATTTTGCATTTTTCAAATTGAATTCAATTTAATACAAATGATATAATCAGCATGACAAGTTGAATGTAAACTGTTATAAATATCAGAATGATAATAGTTAGTTCTTCTTCGGTGTGAAATTTTGGATCCAGTAACTTTTGAATTTACACTCTGTCATGTATTTCTGTGTTGAAGGGTAATTAAGGGGAATAAATTCAATTCTGCCTTCTGCGTGTCAAAGCAACAAAGCTGCTTGTTTAGTCTGTTGCATGATTGATTGATGATTTGAATTAGCACAGACTGACATCTGTATGA